CTAAAGCTCTCCTCTCCCTCCAGTTCTGAAATCTCTTTCTCAACCCCTCTTTTGTTTCCTTCATAGCATTTATCACAATTTGTGATTTTGAATGAGTTTTTGTTTTTCTTTGGAAGTCTATCTCTTCCAATAAAAAGTAGGTTTCATGATAACAACACTGTCTCTTCTGTCTGCTGCCATATCCCTAGTGCCTAACCATGTGGCTGGTGCATAGTAGGTGCTCAAAAAACCTGCTGAAGGAATGAGTGAATGAAACCTTATACCTTCCTCTGCCATCTGTATCTTTCTCCTTTCTTCCTTTCCTTTCACTTTCCTTGCTGTGGTCTTTCTTTTCCATATACTTCCTTCTTTCACTCCACTATTTTGATTCCATTCATTCAACCAACCAACCAACAGTTCTGAGGACCAACTCCATTTAAGGCATTCAGCTTTGTGCTGTGAAAGACACAATCTTTTCTCATGAGGACCTTTCAATCTTCGCTCTTGTGTTTTATATCAGAGCTCATGAACTTCCCAGACTCCCAAAACAATGCCTTGTTACCAGTTTCCTCAAATAGTCCTGATACCAATAATTGAGCCAACAATATCATGACTGCCAACTGCTGGGTGCTTTTGGTGCAGTGAGTATAAGTGCTGTTGCACACTCAAGTGCAGAGCTCCAGTGATTACTGGCAGGATAAAAACGAGGTCTTGACAGGGCCACTGAAGAGACATGTTCAACATGCCTGTGTGTCCTGTTCACCATGGCCCCAGTAAATTCTCCTAACTCCCTAGTATCATATTGAACTTATAATCTATATATATCCCATGAGCATTTCAGCTCTTTTCTCTCCCTATGGGCAGAACCCTACTGTTTCTATCCTGGTTGGATGCCCTGCTTTGTCATCTATCTTGGCTGATTTCATTTCCTTACCTGATCACAGTCCATTTTTCTAAAAATTGCCCCAAAGCAGAGACAGACCTAGGTGGTCATGTTTGAGAGAGAAAAATGCCACATAACCTTGCTCCTTTGGCCCTTGATGGCCAGATCAAGAGTAATATCCCTATCCAAAGAGAACTGATTCAAAGTTAGGCTGGGAATCAACTCAGAGGCTGAGTCAGACCAATCTTTCTCTCTACCTTTGTCTCTCTCTCTCTCTCTTTCTCATTCTCTGTCTCCAAAAATTTGAATTAGAAAACAGGAAACAGCATCATTGGTTTGGGTTTATAAGATTGTTCAAGACAACTTTAGGGTTGGGCCATGTGCAAACAGAGAATGCTTTCTAAAAGGTAAAATGGAATCAGATGGGCATGAAAAGAAGGAAAATGAGAGAGACCATGAGGGATGAAGAAATCAGCTTTGGTCCTTAGCAGCTTCCCAGAGCTTATTCTCATGAGGACTGGCATGATAGGATCAACATGTTCATAGGTCTGCTCCTGGACCCTTACTTAGCTGGCCTGAGTGAAGTTTTTTTCCGTGCAAACTTGGGGCATTAAGCCAAGCACATCTTTCTACAGAGAGTTCTCTTTTTGTCCTTGTCAAATTTATCCTTTCTGTAGAATTCTGCTCTTGAACTCACATTTACCTGTAAAGATGTGAGCTCAGTCTTCCACCCCTTGAAGAAACTGCCATAGCTCACCTGCCAGGAAATGTCCTGTGGGCTGACATACATGCATGCCCTCCACGGGTTTCAGCTATCTCCTCCTCTTGAGTCAGCCTATTACCTGGCACTGCAAGTACCCACCCACAGGCATGTATCCAATTATAGAAAAAATTTAAAAACACTTTTTTAGCTAATGTCTTTTAAACACATTATAAAAGTGGTATTATTGGCTATTGGAGGTGATAATAATAACATTCTAGATATAAACTCCGTTTTGAGTGCACTGCTTCCCCTGTGGAACCCAAAAGACCATAACAATATGCATGTTTATCTCCTGTGTCAAGGCCAATCTTTCCTCCCTCTCTCCTTGCCAGGGACAGAGGTGAAAAATCTTTTTTTAAATGTAGTTTGTTCAAGTTTATAGAAAGTGCTCACAACCAACATAAACAAAGATAAACCTTTCAGTGTGATGGATATCACTGGATTTCAGTTCAAAGACCTCATGTTTAATAAAGGACTTGAATAAAGTATGAAATAGGAGATTGAATGCAGGCAATGCCAAAACAATAATCGAGGAGTTACCTAACAGTCATCTAAAGCTAGGAAACTTTACTTGCTATTACTCAGAACTGGGATTTAGTACAATTTCATAATTATTTTATAATATTCCTGTACTCAACAGATCTAAGGGGGGGTGAGAAAGTCATTATGCTCAGCTGGTTTTCAGCCCAAATGAAAGACAAGAAGGTATATAGGGAATAGATGGCAATGGAAAAAGATAATAAAATAAAATAAAGGAAAAGATAAAATAAAGACAAGGGGCTCATAGGTAATTGCAAAGCTGCTATGACTCCCTTTGAGTATTATTTATTTACTAATCACATCTTCAAATAATCTGCAGTAAGCTAAGAGGATATCTGGGGAGGCAACTCTGCAAATGTTTTAAATTCCTCATTTCAGGAATACAAACAGATTAGGCTTATGGAAGATAGTTTTAGCCACTCAACAGAAAGGAAAATGCAATATTTAAAGGATAGAAATAATGCAGCAGAGAAATACATTGTGGTATATCTTCCCTTTCCAAAAACTCCTTTTCTCCCCCAAATACATAGGGGTGGAGTTAGAGCGACCAGGGTGTGAGCCCAGGCTCCAGCAATCATTAGCTGTTATACAAATTAACTTTCACTTGGTAGCTTTGTCTTTATATTCTCAGGGTTGTTGTGAGGATTAAATAAGATAATGCTTAGAACCAGCACCTGGCACTTAGTAATGATAGATGTCAGCCATTATTCCTAAGCTCCATGCTCTTGACCTAACTGACCTGTGCTGGAACCAACAGATTTCTCCCCTGGGGCTTTGGAATTGGGACAAAGTTAGTCTTTCTATGGGGAAAGTTAGTCTTTCCATGGGGCTGGGGAGTCTAAAACCTCGGTACTTTGCTTTGAGGTCTGAGAAGCAGAGAATGAGTCTTCAAAGAGAGGAATAACCGGCCTCAGTGGGAGAAAGTCCAACCTACGTTTCCATCATTTCCCTTTCTTGCCTGCTGGCCTGTCTGCCCTTAGTTTCCTTGGGACCCCGGCTTGTTTTAAAAAACATATCCTTTTTATTTAGACTAATTTCAGGGGTCTTTTATTTGCAGTTAAGACTCTTAACCAATACATCTACACCTAGAAAAAAAGATGAAATGTGCTGGACAAGAAAAGGCAGAAAGTGCAGACTTGAAAATCCATGTTACTATCAGAGTGGAACAGATTGAAACGTCTTAAATGGATGGCAGCATCTTCCCTTTGTCTAACGAATGAGTATTGGGCATCTTTCCCAGGAAATCCATATCAAACTGCTCCCCCACGCACCCAGGAATTGATCCTTTTTGATCCAAAGACATATAAGATTAGGTTTTATTTCAGGGTTTTGTTAAAGAAAATAAAGGTACATAGCAGGTGCATCCAAGTTGATTTACAACTACAGGCAGAAGTCCTTATAGACAGAGGAGTCTCTACTACAGAATTTTTTAAAGAGAATGGAAAGGCCAGAGTAGGTTGGGGTAAGAATCCCTTTTCTCCCCAAAGATCTTTCTTAAGGAGAAAATATAGTTTTGATTTTAATGACATTAAATAAGGTTTTAGCAAGAAAGGGAAAAAAATGAAGTTTTGTTAGCTTTAGGTGTCAAAATATAAACAGACCAAAAATGTTTGTCTCCCTCCCTCCCCCGACTCCACAACATCATTGACATAACAATATAAGAAGAATTTCTTTTGTCTCAAATGAAAAAAAAAAGAAGAAAAAAGAGGGATTTGGGAATCTGAGTCCTTATTTAGGCTCTTTTACCCTTAAGTCACTTCACTTTAAGGATCTCAATAATCAGTTCCTTTCTATCTAGAAATTGTTCAGGCTAGGAGCCCCTCGTGCCTAGATTATAATATTTTCATTTAGTTCTGTGCCTCCCATTAATTTTGACTGTACTTCTCAGAAGAATCATGCTGGTAAAATTTAAGAGATTTTCGAAAAATGGAGTCCGGCATTGGAGGTTTCATCATTTGGCCTTGTGTCAGCAGTGCAAGGACCTCCTCCTCCTCAGAGAGACCCCAGGGGTGCATGAAAGGCTGCACCTCCCGCAGGGGGTCG